TCCTGAGTCGCGTGGCGTCGGGGCCGTCTCCCCTGTAGGTGCGGCGTGCCCCTCCCGGTGGCTCCTGATCGCCGGTTGCAGGGAGGTTCGCCGCAGCCGCCTGCCTTAGACTCCCCTCCCCCCCCGTCTGAAGCTCGTTCCCAAGAAAGGCCGTGGCTGAGCGAGTAGGCAGCCTTGTGTGAATGCGTGTGATTTAAGTACTGGTGGAAGAGTGGAGCAAAATTATACGGGCTTCTCCTTTTAGCGTTGCTTGCTTCTGTTGCTTCCCTGCTTTAAATCTCGGGGCTGTCATTTTAGCTGCTCTGCTTCTGCGTGCTTTAGCGGTGCAAGTGCAAGCTGTGCAAGAAAAGGCACGGGAAATGTTTCTGGCATAAAACCAATGTTGATATCCCTCCCCCCCCCGTCATAATTGGCTGTTGTCAGTTAAATTACAATACTTGCGTTAGCTTTTTCCCCCTGTATTTTTCTTAGCTTAATATTATAATTTTGGGATGCATGATAATGATTTAACTTATTTCTCCTTTGTTTTATAGTCTCACATAATGGCAGCAAAGGCTGTAGCAAGTACTCTGAGAACATCCCTTGGGCCCAATGGTAATAATGAAATAATTTTAATGGTTCTTTCTCAGTAATTGTTTTTTGGATGCTCTAGATTTTCCTTCATGCTTTGAGTATTTTTTTTTAGGCTTGGATAAAATGATGGTGGACAAAGATGGTGAGGTGACTGTAACAAATGATGGTGCTACCATCCTGAATATGATGGATGTGGATCACCAGATAGCCAAACTTATGGTGGAGCTGTCTAAATCTCAAGATGACGAGATTGGGGATGGAACTACTGGAGTTGTTGGTAAGAAAATATTTTAAATTTAACTTAGCTTTTCCAGCTTTAAAATCAAGCTGCTTCAGCTATTTTTAAGAAATTTTGTGTGAAGTAACAGTAGCTTTTCTGTAGCACGTTTTCGGAGTATTTACTGCTTCAATGTTCTTGTCAGTTCTTGTATTAGAAGTATGTATATGTATAGAACAAGATGAATCAGAAAGACGCTTTTGTGTCTTTTCTAAGTATGGTTACAGTTTAAGTTAGTGTTGAGAGTCCTCTTTGTACTTTAAAAATTTTTCTCCGTAATTTTCTTCCCTAATCTTCTACCTATCCTGCATTGGTGTCCGTGCTTCTTTTTGGTCTAACATAATGCAGTTTTCTTTCTAAGCATAGCAAGTAGCGGTTTGTTTAGGGTTGTTTTGTCATTTAAGAAACCTTGAACTGTTAAAATATTACAGAAAAAAATCAGAAGGCATACTTTTTAATCTTTTGGAAATGTAGGAAAAATGATGCTTCAAATCTGTGGCAGAATAAACATTATCTTAAAATTTTGTTTTATAGTTCTGGCTGGAGCGTTATTGGAACAGGCTGAGCAATTACTAGATCGTGGTATTCACCCTATCAGAATAGCAGATGGTTATGAGCAGGCAGCCCGCATTGCTATTGAGCATCTAGACAAAATCAGTGACAGCTTTCCAGTTGATCCACAGAACATTGAACCTCTGATCCAGACAGCAAAGACAACGCTAGGCTCTAAAGTGTAAGTTACAAAAAATTCAGAATAATATTTAAGTTTCCCTTAAAAGCACTTTGAGTTGAAAGGAGAAATCCTGGTGTTTTGATGGATCATTAAATTGTTTGTGTTATTGGAGTGGTTGCTGAAGGCTCTTTTGTGTTTGATTTTGGCTAATTTCTCAATGGACCCATGTCTCAGGATAAGAAATTGTGAATCCTTTTTCTCTAAAGGGTCAATTCCATGAGGTTAAACAGCTGCAAAATCAGTTTCGTTCTAACCTGTTAGTTCCAGATTTCTGCATCGTAGCAAATTCCAAGAGTAATACAAACCTTTTAAAAATAATTATGTGTTATATTTTAAAGGTTTGTTTGTTTGTTTTCCCTAAAAAAAATTTTTATAGGCTAGTTTCATAAGTGCATTTTTCATTATAGGTTCTATGTGTAGCATATAAATTCAGACATGGTAAGGGCTTCCTTTGCAGGATCTGTATCTTGAGACTATGTCCACAAAGACTACTTAGACAAACCATATTGCGTGTTCTGTTTTCTGCCATATTTAGCATCTTTTATTTCTGTGAACAAACAAGAAGGACCCCTTCTTCTAATGGAGCATACAAAAGTCATTAGCTATAGTGATACTTTTTTCTGTTTGAGATTGATAGAATCACTTTTTTCTTCCAAGCTGTGGAAATGTAATGCAACTTTATTGTATTTTTTTTAAACCTAGAGTTAACCGTTGTCACAGACAAATGGCAGAAATTGCTGTAAATGCTGTACTGACAGTGGCAGATATGGAACGTAGAGATGTTGATTTTGAGCTGATCAAAGTACAAGGCAAAGTGGGAGGTAGACTGGAAGATACACAGTTGGTTAAAGGAGTGATTGTGGATAAAGATTTCAGTCATCCACAGATGCCTAAAGTAAGTGATGTCACTGTGTGCGTCTCATCTGTAATGGCTTAAATGAGATTGTCTAGCCCACTTCAAATGCTGCCCTAGCATTTCTGAAGTATTTAAACACTGTTGTGGTTTGGCTTGTTTTTTCACCCATATATCAACAGAGAAAGGGGAGAGGAGCATTAAATTCTTCATGTTGGAAGAGACTAAGTTAGAATTTACACTAATTGTGAGAAATTGAGAAATTATGGGGGGGGGGGTTACTGTACAACTAAGTGAGGACAGGTGTAGAGGTCTGCGTTGAAGTGGAAATAATCATCCATAGTGTGTGATACGCTTAAGATGCTTAATGCAACTCAAGAAATGCTGCTTAAGCTCTACGAGTTGTCATGTTGTCCTGTTTGGAACACCCCAGAAGCTGTCCCTTTATTATATTTGGTGTAGGTAAGGCCTCCAAGTCTTTGTGCAGCGTACTTCAAGAAAGATGGAGGCAATTTAAAATTTCTACTATTATAAAATATTTTTCTCGTAGGTGACACTTGTTTATCCTATAAAAAGGAAGACTGGGGGAAAACAGCAGTCATGTAAAGGTGGCTGTGGAGATGAGTACGTAGTATTCTCAATGGTCATGGTGGATAGGGCAAATAATGGTTTCATTGAAGTTTTTTTTTCCTGTTTTTTTAAACATTAAGCTATAAAAAGACACTGCTGGTAAAGATTGTTAAGGGCTTAAACAGTGTCTTGAAGCTGTGGAGTTTGTTCTAAGTGGGTTATAGAGGCTTTTGATGGAATTATTTGGGTATAGTTAGTTTCACTTTAGAATAAGTCAAATGATCTTCAAGTTTCCTCCTGTCTCTGTGTTTTTAAACATACGTCTGTATGTTTTGCAAATGTAAGAAAGAGGTGTTACTGAGGTCAAAACTCAACTTTTTAATTGTACAGGAGCTTAAAGATGCTAAAATTGCAATCCTTACTTGTCCGTTCGAGCCACCTAAGCCTAAAACCAAGCATAAGCTTGATGTCACATCTGTGGAAGATTACAAGGCACTGCAGAAATACGAAAAGGAGAAGTTCG